AATTTTAAATTATTTTATTGATTAAAGTTAGTCATAATTAGTATTGATGTTTTATAAAAAAAATTTCATTTAATTTAGTATCAGTTTAAATATTTTTTATATGTTGTTCATTCATAAACTAACTATTTGAAAAGTTTATCATGAACCTATATAATTATCGTTTATAATTAATGAATAATAAATAGTACATAATACATTTTTAATTAAATTTTATAAAGGTAATGAAATACATACTTGTTCTTAAAATTGAAATTTAATGCGTTTTCATATAAAGAGTTCAAATTCTGGATTTCGAATAAAATTGATATCGTATAAACAAAATATTTAACCTCTTCCAAGTTTCAAGTAAATGCAATGGCAATCAAGTAAATAATCTATATTTTAGGTTTTAAATATACTTTGATTCGTTATTTTATTCTGGAAATTCATTTTGATTTTTCATCATTATAAAAATATATTTTATTGATTGAAATTTTTAAAATTGAATAAATGTCATCCTGCCAAAATTAGATGATTTTTAATTTTGAAGTATGATTTAAAACTTTTTATTATTATTCAAAACCTGAAACTTATTCCATTAAATTCACTTAAACAAAATATTGAAACCATTGGTAAATTGCTGTTGTTTTATAAGATATGCGAAATGAGTTGAATTTTTCTGTGTAAATAATAATATTAAGAGAAATGAACTAAATTACACGGTTGAAGGGTATCCTTAGAAGGAAATTTTCACATATTGTGAAGTAAAATGCTCTTAATTTATGGTACATTATCTTACCCTCAATTTTCTTCATTCCAAAATAAAAAAAAGAGTGGTGTATATATTTATTGGTGTAAAAAGCAATTTATAATCGGCTCACTTTTATATAACGTGATGTTCGGCTATTTGGATCTACTATGTTCTTGGGCCAAGTAGTTTTGTTTTGAAAAGCTGGGCTCCGCTGTTTGGGCACGAACATAATTTTTATTTTTTATATCACGAGTGAATCTTTGTGCACACAAAAATTCTATATCTTCCTCTGGTCTCAACCCACATTTAGGAATGGCAACGGCGGGGCGGTGACGGGTTTTACCTCCCCTTTTGATTTTATAATCGTTCTTGTTTCTGTCTTCAATTCTTGTCGGGGTTAGAAATTAAGTTTTTATCTCTGTTTTTGTTGGGTTTTAGGTTTTCCCAATTTATATTATTTTTAAAAAGATAATTATATTTATAATAAATTAAATTTATTATGTAATTTTATATATAAATAAATATTTATAAAAGAAATATTTATATTAAAATATGTATGTAAAAAAAATATTTAATCATTTTTTATTTATATATAATAATATTATTATTATTATAACAGTGTATTCCAACATTTGAATATTTATATTATTATTATTATTATTATTATTATTATTATTATTATATATTCCAACATTTGATTACATGTATAAGTTAATTCATTTTTAAGTTGTTATTTTAAAATATGAAACATATAATTTATAAAGAAATATTTAATAAGTTAATACTAATTTAATTAATTTGAAGTAATAAAAGTTTAAATTATCAATTATTTTTAATATTTTAAAATACAATTACTTTATTAAGATAAAATTTGATATATGACAAATAATAATAATAAGATTAAAAAAATATGACATAATAAAATCTAATAAATATAAATTATAAATAAATAATATTAGTTATTACTAAGATTTATGTAAAATATTTAGAAAAAGATAAAGACGAAAAAAAAATTTGATTAGAGAGATTAAAGAAATATGAAAAAATGAAAGATAATAGAAAAACTAAGAGAATAATATAATAAACTAATTAATATAAAAGATAAAAAAATTAAAAAATAGGTAGAAAAAAAGTACAAAATGGTAAAATATAAAAAAATGATCTTATATGTAATAAAAAAAGAAAAGAAAAAATTATTAAAATTTTAATTTTTTAAATTTAAATATAAAGGGGCGGGAACGAGAATGAGTTTAGGGTGGAGATTGTAATACCGATTCCGCTTCCGACTCCGATTTTTAAAGCGGAGAAAGCCCGAAGGTTACTTCCAGTCAACTCATTTTTTTTTTTTTCATTAAACTCGGAACGAAGAGGTCGATCCTTGCAGATCTCATCCCACAAATAGCTGAAAACGAAGAAGTTGATATACTTTATTATTAAGTACACTTTTTGTCTTTATTCGCAACAAAGCTCTTGTCAGATGTGGTTTCAACGTGAAGAAAGAAGTAATAAGTCAACACCACCCTAACAAATACCACTGATTCGATCTTGAGATTGAACCATAAAAAATGTATATGTTCATCGAAAATTAATTAATATATGTAGTAAAACTAAATTAGTGACTAAAGTTAGAACATATTTTTTTTATCTGAAGGAATATTTTTACGCGCATAGTTGTAACACTATCTTTTTTGGGTACAGTTGCAATTATTAAGCAGAAGTCCTTCTGTAAATTTTAATTCTAGAAATGCAAGTTTGATTATTTTAGGATAACAAAATCCCACAACCAATTCTTCCTCAAAAAATAAAATAAAAAAATCAATTAATTAAGGTCTATTGATAACATTTGCTGAAACCAAGGTTGTTAAATTAAAACAACTTGCTCCTTCGTCAAGTAGTACATGATTAGGAACAATGTCTAGGAATTTCAAGGCATTAGGTAGTTTTAAAAAATATTATATAAATTATTCGTTCGTATATATATATATATATTTTTTTGTTTTCTTTTTAACTTTTTTGAGTTCTAAAGTTATATTTGTTTCTTTTAGTTTTAGATATATATTTTGTAATATAATTAGAAATTTTTCTATCATTAATTTTTCTCATGCATATTTTTCAACTGTCCTGAAGGTAATTTTTTTTTTCTGTCGAGTTTGAAAACTTTTTAGTGAAAACACGTTACAAATAACATAGGGCATCAATATTTTGTAAAGCAGCTCAACACATAAAGTTTTCCATTGTGACAGTACACTATATCATGAAATAGATTGAGACAAAACCAGAAACAAAGATAGGATCGAAAGAGTTTAAAAGATTCTTGCGAACAAGTATATAGTGTGCGATTAAGGATCCTAGATGCTGTCTCCAACAATGTTTTCCAAGTTAAGTGTTAAAGGATTCTACACCAACCTCAGAATCAAGACGATACTCACCTTAAACAAATGGTTAAATGGAAATTAAGATAATCTTGATGGGAATGAAAATAAAGTTTGACCAAACCGTGGGTTGATAAGTTCTGCCAAGTATGGTCGTACACCACACAACATTATTTGACAACTTATGTTTTTTAAAATGTTGTTGATTTTATTTTGATCTGGTTGTTATTTTAATATTGTTCAATATTTGCATTATTATTTTGATTTTTTGTCAATTTAATAACTTCGTTTGGCACGATCAATTGGGACCTTCGATTAAAATGTGTTAGGGTTCAACAATTTGAGAGAAACCAAGTGCGTACATGCCCTTCTTGTCCGATATTTTGTTTTATAACTTGTTTTAATTTTTAATTAAAATACATTAAGGTCATTTATCTACTTAACACTAGACGTTATTAAATACTCATAACCTATTTGCCATGCCAATGTTGAGACATTGGTGGTCAATGTTATTCACGATAAGATCAAAATCGCTTAATTCTAAAGATTGGGAGGCTAAATGCGCACACCTAAAAATTGGAAAATCAAGATCGCAAATTGAACATATATGGAGACAAAGGTACGATTAAGCCAAAATAATATTTTTTCTTTCTTTCCATCACATAAAGTATTCTATATCATGTTTTTTTTTCTCACGTATTTTTATTTCTCTCTTTACTAATCCTTTAAAAATAGTTTTACGATAACCATTAATTAGAGAATTAAAAGTAAGAATATTTTATTAAATAATGTAAAATTTAATGTTATCAATAGGTTTCGGTGATTTTCTATGTTATTTATTTTGCTGTTTAAGCATCAGTTAAAAAAACCACTTAACCATTTTCAATTCATCAATCTAAACTCCTCATTTGAATATGATGGTATCGAACAACGTTCACATATGGTAGTGTACCAGAGATTCCTTTGTGAACCAAGGGACGTGCGAGGAAACAACCCTGCCATGACACTCTTTAAAACTTAATTAATTTCATAAAACATGGGAAGTGGTCCCCTTTGGTCTGTCTTTTACCACTACCCTAGTTATGCTACTGAAATCGCAGATAGAAAACTAAGAAATAAAAATTTATATAATTCTACAACTTACTTCATTCAAGTTTTTTTAAATAAATTCCCATTTTGTCTTTAATTTTTATAGGAGTTAGAAATTAAGTTTTGATTACTGTGTTTGTTGTCTTTCGAATTTTTTTACCTCATTTCTCTATTTATATTATTTTTTTAAATTATTATATTTTTAATAAATTAATTTTATTAATTTTATATATTTTTTATATATAAAAATATTTATAATTTTACAATTTATAATAATTAATAATTAAATATATTGTAATTTATTATATTTATATTAAAATATATATGTAAAAGAAATCTTTTATAATTTTTTATTTATATATATATATATATAATATTTATAATAATAATAATATTATTATTATTATTATACTGTATTCAAAACTTATAATATTATTATTATTTACTATACTAATAAATTAAAATTAGTAAAATTAAAGGACAAATATTTTAGTATTAAGTATTGTGAATATTACGTACTAAATGTAGGAAATAAGAGTTGTGAAGGGCGAAGAGAAAATAGTGAGGGAGAGTTACAGAATGCATAGTTCCCAAGGCTGTAAGGCTTTTGCAACAAGTTAAATCCCATTTTCCCATGATGGACCATGCTGCTTTATTGTTAGTCCACTACGGCATTACCTCTCTCTAACAGCTTCAGCTTAACGCTGTTTCTAGTTTTCTTCTACTTCTCTCTATATGAAGCTTATTACAGAGATTAAATTTACTAGGATATTTAATACACTGAATGCAGGTCCAGTCTTGTGCATCCTCTACATAAATTGCATCAGCCCTACTCTCAGATTTTCGGCCAGTTCCTTCTCGCTCATGTTCAATTCATCCTCCATCTGCCACCAATAAAAACAAACACACACTCATTAAAATTTACACCTACCTCATGTGAAATTTCAAACCTTTTTTTTTTTTAATCCATAGGCATAGTGGAATGGGAGATAGTGTATAGTAGTGGGAAACTTTTAAGTTAAACCTTGTGAAATTATTTTTAATAATAATAATAAGGTACCTCGGCTACGATGGTTGCGTCGAGAACAGAGGAACCGAAAGATAAGGCGCTGCTATTGATGACTGAGAGATGAAGTTTCTCTATCTCTCTAAAAATGTTCACCAGCACTACCTTTTCTTTCTGGCAGAGGATTCGAATCAGCACGTTCTTCTTTGACACCCTTGCTTCTACTTCTGGTAGTGATAGATTTGTTTTGGATGAGGGATCATCGGAATTTCCGTACTCACAGGAATTTGATGAAGTGTCTGAGACATCCTCGTCCACAGCAACACAAACCTGAGATTTCTTCGCACGCATCACCCATTCCTGGCTTTTCCTTTTGCCCTGCTCCTCCATCACTTGCACTTGCTCCCTCAGCTGCTGCACATACCTTATAGCTTCCCCCAACACAGACACCTTGTCCATCTTCAAACAAATTACCATTCCTTAGTACCATAATACAAATATATATTAAATGTTTGAGTAACATAATTCCAAAACATTAAATGGTTATTTCACTAAAAAGAAAATGAACCTTTTTGAGGTCTGGAATAAGAGCCGAGAGGGCTATGAACTGCTGGCTAATCTTTTCTCTCCTCATTCTCTCGGCGATTATGTGATCTTGTGTGTTGTGAGAAGATCTTCCCAACGAGCCCGTTTTCTTGCTATCCTGAGTAACACGTTTTGGTTCACTCTTTGAAGGCAGAGCAATACCGCGATTCGCAACCTTGGTTCCTGGATTTATAGCCGATTCAACCTTTGTTGGTGTTGGATTGGTGTTGTCAAAGGAGAGAATATAGGAGCTGGGAGTGGAAGCTGTCTTTCGTGAGAGTTGGTCAGTTTTGGCAGAGTTTGAAGTGCATGTCTTGAGTAACTTGAAAGGCCTCTCTTCTATGCCATTCTCAGTCACTGAAGAGTGACTCTCGGTAGAAAAAGAACTCTGCGGGTTCTCTTCTAATGCAGTGGCTATATGACGAGGAGATGCTAAACTTCCATTCACATCCTCCATCTTTATGTCTGCTTGACCGTTGAAACTGTAATCATCTGGTTCCTGGAACAATGTAGGGAACTTTAAGCAAAAAGTTCAAGCATGTAAACATGAATAATAACAGTAGTTATAACAATATGATTTTACCATATCACACAGCCAACTAGTCCATGATTCCTCCATTGAGGTCATGCTAATGCAAATTTTAATTCAGTTTCTGCAAGCACAAGTGAGTACCAACGATCCTGAAAGTAAGAAGTAAAACAAATGGCGGTCATGTAATTTTGATACACGTTCTGTCGTTCATATATACTCCAGGAGAAAGCGAGATCTCAATTACCTCTTCCGGCAATAGCCGAATGGCTGAACGCGAACCCAATACAAGGAAAGCTCGTTTAGATTTATAGAGGGTAGCACCATAAGCACGCATGCGCAGATTCTTCAATTTTCAGCCATACTTTATTACGTGTCGGAGACTGCTTGTTCCACATGCTAATTTACCAATATATGTCAGCTTGAGCTTGTCGACACCTTAGGTGACTCGCCCTGGGTGATTTCCACAGAATAATGCTACGCATGCACGATACACTATTACATTTACATACCTATTTTACTGTCTGCTTAATTAATTATTATCTTAACTTTTTTATGTCCACTTATATTTTCATGCTGCCATAGAATTTTATGTGATTGCATATGAGCCGTAAAAATGTGTAGATGCATTATCCAATTAAGCAAAAGTTTAAATAGTTTGCGATGGTTTTAGTTTGCTTTTTGTGTAAAAAATACAGGACTATATTTTATAAATAATATTTGATGATATACTTATTTAATAACATAATTTCTTGAAAAACTATAACCCACAAAAGATAAAATGATAATATATAAATAAATATAAATTTTATTATATATATTAATTTTATAAGATTGATTTAGAGCAGAACCCTTTTATAAGAAGGTTATTACCAAGGATATGTTTTATGTTTAAATTTTCATTTGATTCAAAAAATTAAAGAAGTAATTGTCCGGTCAAATTGAATAACAGACGTAAAATGTTTTTTTTTTTTTTAACATATCAAAATTAAATTAGATGTGGACAAATATTTTAAGAATTTAAAACTCTTCTTTTGTTAATAACCACTCTAGTTTCGCGGATCTCCAACATGTTAAATCTTTGTAATTTTCTTGAAGGATTTCGATTTTCCAATTAACATTAAGAGAGGCAGAAGAGACATAAAAAATAAAAAAAATGTGAATTACTTAAAGATTAGATGACAAGTAATTCCTTACAATTATCTAACATGTGTTAGATGTTAAGAATATTCATCGTCCCGTATTAACATGATTTAGTGATCTTTTAATGAAGTAATCTGATTTTACCGTTTCCAATAATAACAAAAAATAAAGGATTATAAAGAATTCGCTTGATAAGTTAAAGTTTATAATTTTGTAAGAAAAAATTACAATATAACAATAGATCTGGATACAGAATATTTTATCAAATATTACAATATATATATATATATATATATATATATATATATATAATTTGGAATTGTAGAAATTTAAATTTTATATTTTTATAAAAAAATTTAAATTATAAGTATTATATTATTTTGTTTAATTTCTCTTTATTTTTATTTTTAAATATAAATTACAGTATGATTTAAATTTATAGATGAGATAGTATAAAAAATAAATTAAATGAATGGATTATAAATACAAATAAAAAATATTAGATTATGAAATAAAAAATAAAGTAACTAAGAAAAAGAAATTAAATAACTAAGTTATTAAAATAAAATAAAAAAGTAATTAATATTTATCGTGAACCTAAGAGACCGGGTCAATATTGCCATTTGATGTAGGAGTGATGATATATTAACACTCTTAGTCACAAACCACTCTCCTGACAGCATATTTTTATTAATATAATAATTATAAAAAAGATATAATAAAAAAATTTTTTAATTATTATTATAATATTAGAATCAAATTGTTTGGAAAGTTGTTTACAAAATTGGGTGTGAAACTAGTTTTTCCCTTAAAGTAGTGTGAAGTAGGTATGGTAACATTATTTTGTAGAGAATTTGCAGCTTTGTCTCAAAAGTTGTTTCCAATCATAATTTCGCCACTAAACTCACCGGATCATAAGGGTTTCTTTATAATTTTTATTTATCCGAAAGTTGTCCACGGCAATAAAATAAGTGTTGAAAGCTATACTTATAAATAATGTCATTTATGGCTTTATAAATAATGTAGTTTCTTATTTGTATTTTGTTGTTGTTCAATTTTCTTCTTTGAGATTCCAGTAGCTAATTTAATCAGGTTACTAATCCACTTGATTTTGGCATATATGCCCCTTAAAAAATCAAACAATCAAATAGACTAAAGAAAATTAAATTAAGTACAAAAATAAAATTAAACATATCATTTCATTTATAGTTAAGATGCATATTTACTGTTATAACATTATTTTATATATATATATATATATATCAATATTATTGAATTTATAATATTTATTGTATTTAACGGAAATATTTTTTATAATAAAATATATTGTATATTATTATATTTTTTCGAAAAAAACATAATCTATGATCATTTTATAAAAATGATATTATTATAGTGTTAAGTCAAGTTCATAATTAATATTTCATCTTCATTAATTTAAAAAATATATTAAAATATGATGCTTAACTTTACAATTGTAACATTTCTTTCATCTTTTGTATATATGTGGTTTCAAATGAAAAATATTTAATAAATATTTATTTATCTCATTCTTCACATTATACATCATTTTAGTTTGTAAAGTTTGAATGTATAGATTATGGTATTCACCAGTACTACTGTGAATTAATAGTAAAAAACTACTATAAATGAAACCTCACAAATCCTTATATATCTCCTATTTGTTTATTTATTTTATCATTGGGATTTAGTAAAATTAATTTCGCCATATAGTAAAAAACGTTAGAACTAAGTTATTATTTTAGATTCCAATTCATAAACATCTTCTAGCATATGGCTTGGATATTGAGAAAATACTTGACATTATTTTACCACTTTCATTCTTAAATTTAATAATCATTAAATAATTTAATTATATATTTATAATTTTAATTTTCCCATTTTATAATTATTATAAATATATTTATAATTTTATACTTCTTATGAATATATTTATAAATCTATAAATTATAAAAACAACTCATAAATATGAGTGAATATGGTTTAATAAGATAAAGGTGGAAGTTTTATCTTTTAAGTTATAATAAATTATAAATAAAAAAACTTAATCTTTTAAATTTCATTTTTACAAAATTACTATTCTTTTGTAACTTTCTTTTTCTTTTTTTTTCTTTTTAATTTTTTCACGAAAAATTATAAGTTGACACCCTCTTCCCACAAACTCTCATTCTATAATTGATTTTAATAATATAATATTTATAAATTCTTTTAAATTTACATATTATTTATAATTATAATAATAATAATAATAATAAATTATAGATTAGATGTATGGATGAATAATAATAATAATGTAAAAAAATCATTGTCTTTTTTCAATCCTTTCTCACATTTTTCTCCATATTTAAGTATAACTTAGTACTTTTTCAACAGAGAAAATCATTTTTATCTTATCATAATTTTAAATAAAGTAAAATTATCATTACTCAATTTTAGAATGTTGTCATAAATTTGGTGTTGGGGTTGCATGTGGGGTTCAAGTTATTTCATATAGAAGTTGTTAAGTAAAAATGAATCTTAACTAATTTAATATTGTGGTATGTTGAATCTGTTAATTAGGATTTTTTTATGAATAAGATTTTACTTCCTAAAATTTTAGAAATTTAGGATTTTTGAGGTTGGAGACATTTGTGATTGAGGTAAAGAGGTTAATTTTACTCTCTATCATCTTAGGTAAGAAAATCTGAATACGTTGAGGTGAATTGGTCCCAATAGTTTGAAATAAATTATTTAATTGAGTTAGAAATTACATTTTTTTTATTGATTTTGATTTTAGAATTAAGCATAATTATCTTTCGCATAATCATCATTGGACAATAAATAATTTGTTGAGTGAAACTCATTTTAACTACAACCCAATAACTTTAATCATTAGGTAATCATTTACTCGTTAAGTGAAATGCATTTTACGAAATTTATTAAATGATCATTTATTCGTTGAATGAAATTCGCTCCAATAAAATTTTGAAATATTTGATTGATCCAATAAAATTTTGAAATGTTTGACCGACTAAAAGTTGTTTGACGAGAGGTCTATCTATTGAATGAGAAAAACTTGTGGCGTAATGAATATGACACATTCCTAATTCGTTAAACAAACAAATAAATAAATAAATAAATATATATATATATATATATATATATATATATATATATATATATATATATATATATATATATATATATACGACTAAGTGAATAGAGTTTTTTCTAACTTTTAAATAATTTCTAATGCTAAAAATATTTGTATTTCACTTAGTTTTTACTGTGAACAACTTGAATAATTATTATTGTTTGGTGAATCAACAATTAAAATTTTTAGTATTTATGTTTATGTTAAAATTATGATTTTTATTGATAAGTTATAATCTGTGAAGTGATATGAGCAGACTTACAGGATATGATTATGTGTAATTGTAATGATGTGTATATGAGAACTAGTAAAGAATATTATTATATATGTCATATAGTGTGTGAGTATTGAATTGAGAAATCGATGAGATTTTTTTACTCTATTGATTACTAGAATCATATGAAATGAAATGATAAGTAATGAAGGTTGAATAAAATTTATATGATTTGGATCTCAATAGATCATAAAATTTATCTTAATCACATAAAAATGTATATATATCATTATGAGTACTTAATATTTAGGAAATAGTGATGTGATAGAGATACACATCTGTAAGCCTAATTTCATATTTAATCTTTTAGAAATAATCAAATATTTGTGTGACATGATAATAAGTTTGTAAAAATGTGATATGATTTATAAATACATGAATTTATATTATATGATAATGAATATTATAAAATTTAAATTACTAGCTTATCCTAAATATTTTAGTGTGTTGTTTTAATTTGTGATGATCATATATAATATGTGGTAAATTTTAATAGAGTATGTTTGAAGTTAAAATTAAATTATGACTTAGTCACTTAACAAATAAAATAAGTAATATGTGATACTATATTCATGTAACAAAAAAAGTTTGTGATTTCTATTACTTTTAATATTATTGTTACTTTTTAATTTATTAGCTTACTTTTATGATTATAATAAAAAATAATTTATTTATAATTTAATTTCAATGAATGATTTTATTATTTAGAGATATTATTGAATTAAATTTTAAAAATAATAAAAAACAAGTTAAAAATCATATATTA